GCATGACAGACATGGCAAGAGGTAAGCCATGGGCAGAGCCTAAATCCTCTTAAGATCCTACTCCTCTGTGTTGACGAAGACTGAATATGGAGAATTCCCAATCAGTCCAGAGGGAGGATTGCACAAGTGTGCGTGTGGGCGTGCGTGCTGGTTGTCTGAGAACTTGCCGTACCATAAAGTCAGGGGCTACACGAGGACTGCACCAAACATGGGAATGCCGGATCAGGTTTTGACAGTCGCTTGGTCACAGCAAGTGTTGATGCTTAGAGGCTTGGCTCGAGATTTGCTAATGCTCAAGGATGGCATGTTGGTGGGCTCACGCGTAGGACTTCATGTCCGTGAAAAAATCGTGGAACAGTCTCCTGGGAAACCGAAATCACATCAACATCCAGGGCACAGCAAGCCAGAGCCTGCACGTATACCCCGTCCATCACAATTGGCAAAGACACGGATAGAATTGATTGAATACTGGAAATACTGGGCTGTGCGCGTGCGGGGCTGTTGTATGCGGAGGTGTAGCAAACTCTGAATCTGGATTAGAGCTGCGCCTTGCATTTGGAGGCCTAGCCAGCAGTACGGCCCATGCTGAACAACTGAAATGGCATAATCTGCATCTTGGGCTGCGACCAACGTCCCAACGAACCACCACGTTCTCCTGAGACTGGGATTCCTTCAACTTCTTGTCGTAATCCGCCTGGTGGCTGAGGTCTCAGGTTTAGTGCAAGTGTTGGGCCCAAGTGTGCCGGACTCCGACCACGGGTTAGGGACCACTAATATCCGTTACATTGGCAAAACTTGTCCACCTGAGCAAGGCTTGACGAACAAAATGGCTTGGTCCTGATTTGCACTTCGGTGCTGAAGCCTTGTGACCTGTTTAAAGAGTATGATGCAATTCGGACATTCTCGAATTGGGAGGAGCATTTCTCTGCAGAAACGAAATCCTGAGAGTCCCCAAGGCTTCAGGCCCCCTAACCAACATGAGGGTACGCCTCCATCTTCACGAGAGGTGCAAAGACGTGCTGGTACTGGTACGCATCCTCGGGCATGGTTGCTAATTACATGCGCCGGTGGGGAATTGCAAAACTTTCTGGCTCCCTTCTGCATATTCATGTGGAGTCAGGAGCACCAAAAAGCAGTGTGCGTTCGGTTTAGGTTCAAAAGCGCGTGCATTTGCAAAACTATGCAAGCGTTGCTTTTGTATAGATTGCATGCCGGCAATATCTTTGGACTAGCACGGTCCCTGCATCTTTCAGTGCCAGACGTTCCGCTTTGTGGATTCACACGCAAAATGCAGCACCAAGACAACAGAATCTGAAACTCACGCAATACGTCTGGCAACGTCTCGCGCGGAAGATCACCTTCCTTGAAACAACGCTCCGAACTCAGGCAGTCTTCACCAAAGCTTGCGTTCATGAATTGCCTGTATTGGATGTACTAGGCTTCAGCAGCGGCAAGGGCCAGAGCCCCTCCCAGGCCTCGTAACGAAGCATTACTGGCTGGGGATCGTCTTCGGAGCCTGGTCCGGCCTGTTTGGGCGAGCGGTGCATTTTCAAAAGCTGAGAGGGGAAAACAGAGCTGAAGCCTGGACGGCTACACCGCTACACCGCTACACCGCTACCAGTCACGCTTCAGAAGGACTGTGGCCTTCCCTTCGAGGTCTTCTAAGGTGGCATCTGGATTTGTCTTCCACATCTCTTCCAGCTTGTTCACCTCGCTTTGAGGTGAGCAAATCAGTGGTTCAGCCGGTTAAGCTATCACTTCAAGTTGGGCTTACCAAGATTCAGGCACAGGCTACTGGCGCAAAGGGGTCAACTTGCAGTAACAGCTATCCGCTTGTTGTTTTGGGCATAGAATCGCATAAAAGTCATCAATTCTGCAACTCCATTGACATGGTGATGAGTGAAGTACTTAATGCTTGCTCAAGAACCTGTCGAGACGTGGGCTAGAACATACGTTTTTTGGATGCCGCTAGTAGCAGATTCAACTATCCCCACCTCATAAGGTTCGCGGGCACGGCGCTACACCTTCTAACGGTACTGTACCAACCCACAGAACCATGGTGCTTGCGCAGAAAGGGTGGAAGGGAGGCTCTTACCGCCATCGCAGCTTAAAGCAGGAACTCAAAACCCGTGTAGAGTATCGACACAAGCCCAGCTGCCAACACAAACCATGACAAACTGCCCAATCAACTGCAGCACCCCGAGCCCATCAGCAGCAAGAGCTGAACAGAGGGACGGAGAGGGTTTGAGTCACGCTTGATCTGTAGCTCGAAGCCAAGTGGCCTGTGCAGCCGTAATGTTCCAGGAGCGCATTTGCTCCTAGCATTCAAGAATCAGCATCATCTAGGATCTGTAAGGATCTAATTGCTGAGGCCTGCCCAGCAGCCGCTTCTTCGGAAATTGCTGGCTTGGGCATTGGCGTTGTTCGTAGCACGGTGAAGTAAAGCTGTTATTCCACATGGCCTCGCTCGCAGGATTTTTTTTGCGTGGAACAGCCGCTTTTGCAACTGAAGGGCTCTAAACACCACAAGTTAAGTAGTCATGGTAGGACCTCCAAACTATCTCTAGGCACCTAAACTACTGGCATGCCTGAACTGCGGGTTCCTGAATCGCTTACCTCACACCTTCTCGAAGCCCTTTCTGAGCCTGTACAGCCGTATCCATATCCTTCAATGCTTCAATTAAGGCCAAGTTGGACCCAATCACGGCCATTGTTCAGGCCCCTTTTCGCAGGATACTGCCGTGCTTTTCGTTTCTCTCAATCCAAAAATACGGATGTTCACCTTGGTTCAGAAATAGCAGGCAATCCCGCAAAAGTTCAGAACTTTGCTCCTTCGCATCCGGAATCTTGACAAGCCAGGGCAGAAAGCTGCGATCTTCTATCAGAGGCCTTGGCTTCATGGGTGTGCACTCCTGAATGCAGGAATGTCAGGGCTTTGGGCTCAAGATGCAGCGGGGCTTGCTCTGTCTAGCATCATCAAAGCCTGAACTCTCAAGCCTCGCGCATGAACCTCAACAGCATATCTGCCGATCCCCAGGCAAAAGTTCAATTTGTGGGAAGCCCAAAGCTCGCAACCCTCCAAAACGGCCGGGCCCGAAGATTTGAAGTTGCAATACCCTTCGACACTCAGGAGTCAGAGCTTCCGGAAAAACAACTTATGTTCAGCTTTGCAGGGCGCAATAGATGCGCACGAAGCACCTCCTCGCAGCATTCAAACGCCGTGCTGCATGCAAAGCAACATGTAGCTAGGATTCTGAATACCCTGAGAAGGCAGTACAAAACTAGGAGGCAAAGCATGATGAGCATCTGGAAGCAGCCCCAAACCCCAGATCCCACACAGACCCTACAGCCCTAGCCTTTACCCCAAGCAGGCCAAAACACTGCCATTGCGCCAGATCCCAGTTCGAATCCTGGAGTCAAAGCAGCCCGCTCGGGTCTTCGAACTGATCCATGCGCAGGATTCCCATTCAGCATCAAGGGCTTTGGGCTTTGGACGCTGGGAAGTACTTGCTGACGGACCATCATAATGGCATCTCCCTGCTTGATGCATGTTGAATCAGTTGGCTTTTCAGGGGAGGCCAGTTGCGTAAACTTGGCTGTCGGCATGGAGATCCTCTCATTGCATCTTTAGCGATTCAAGGCATCTGGTGGGCTACTCTAGACATGTTGGTTTCGGACGGCTCTCGGCAAGAAAGTGCTGGGGAATCCCGACACTGGACTTCAACATGCTGAAAACCAGCTGCAGGTTCAAGAAGGCCTCGAAACGAGTTCTCGAAGGGAATGCTCAATTGTACAACATCAGCCTAAAATTCAAGGCCAAAGTGGATACTCAACCACCTGAGGTCAAGCTCTTGCCCCAACACTAGCTGCGCGTGACAGACCATCCAAACTAATAGCAGCGGACCAGGTAGCACTCAAGTCCTCTGCTCTACAGTTCCAGCCTCAGGTAAGCTCGTGAAGGCTGAAGACGTTACCCTCTGAACCCACGTTGCACGAAGCAGTCCTTGAGCGCGTTGTTAGACAAGCAAAGTCGGCACAGCAGGACCACCACAGAGTCGCTCTTCGCGGCAATGAACCCTCAGCTTTGACGACCCACTGCTTTTGCTCTGCTTAGCTTTCGGCGCCCTTTCTGATTTTGTAGCGCAAGCCTGTATGTTTGAGAATTGGACCGGCCACGTCTCGCAGCGGACCCTCTGAGACAGGAAATCTGACACAGAACTATAAAGTTGCCCCGGTGACCCCAAAGTCTCAGATGTAATCAGACGAATTACGTCCCATGGTACTTTGACCTCCTGTCTCCCAAAATCTTCGCTCGTTTGCCAAGATGCCCAGCAAGAAAACGTTGCGCTGGCCGCAGTTGTAGCACTCCAGGGTGATTTCACCCAGTGTGCTTTCGGGATGCAATGAGACCTGCAAATTAAGCAACAGGCTCGCCTGCAGAGGGCCGTGAGAGCTTCTCTTCACAAACCCTGAATAATCTCAGCGAGTCTTGCCCACAGCGCATACATGCAAATGTTGCTTGTGCGTACAGGCTTAAGCTCTGAAATACGAATCCTGATCCCAGAGTGTTGTCTTTTCTGTGCCACTCTGACTCTCAGAGCAAGTTAGCACCGTGTGGCTGTCGAGTCATGGCATATGGTCTTGAGTTGCGATGGTATGCCCGGTGGCAGGGCTGGTGCCATGAGGACTACACCCTGTCAAAGACCTCAACACATTCTTGGGAAGCGAGTGTTGCCACCTGCTCCGAGTATTTCACTTTCCCGCCACGTTCAGGCAAGCTCAAGTGCTGAACCGGGGAACCTTCAAACCAAAAGCCCGCCTCCTTTTGCTTTGCCCGCACGAGGTGAAGGATGATGCAGCTACCTTGGTGGAGAGTTTCCGCCCTAGTTGGGGTTTGTGTGCGTGTGTCTTGGGTTGAGGAGTTGTGTGCCACAACTGCGCAACCTTAGAATGGACAAGCTTTTGGTCTATGCAACCTGCCTGTTGTGGAGAGTTGAAATTCTTAAAGTCAACTCGTTCATTTGATGGAGACAAGTTGCTGGGCAGACCTGGAAGGCGATTGTTGCAGAACCACTTCCCATCACCTGGCCGTTTTGGCTTCTTAGGTCTGTTTAGATGCCGATTTCTCATGACAGTGACAGGCTTTGCGGGCTTTGCGTTGGCCGAGTAGGTGCCTTCAGTCAGGTCCACGCAAACAGAAGCTCTCACCTCGGCACTTCATGACGCTGCCAGGGCTGTGAATGCCGCAGTAGCGACAAGCATGCTCTGGAAGCTCCTGCAGGCATGGTGACAGCTTTCTAGCTCTGTCAGGTGGAGAGGTTGGAAAGGTTGGAGAGGTCCTGGTGTTTGGGGTCTAGGCTGTGGAGTTGTCTGGGCTGCCTACGCCTTCCCTTCTCTTCCCCTTGTGACCCTCCATGCGGCAGGCATCGAGCAGTCCCAATCCTTGAGTTCTTGCATAGCACGTGACTGGACTCGAGCACGGCACGTCTGACTCGCCACCCCCCAACTAATGAAGGGTCAAATCTCGCAAGACCGTCCTTCGGATCGTAGGGAGGCTCAAACTCCTGTCGCAAAGCAAGACATGCACACTGGCAGCGCGACTTGCGGTATCTTTGTGATGTGAAAAGAAGCAGCAGAAAATCCCAACGTGTGTTCTGGAGCTCCTCGCCTACCTAAATTCAAGGCCCAGGCCACCTTCACACAACTCAGGGGTCGGCCTGAAACCCGAAATGGCAAAACAACATCCCTCAGAAGCACGAAGCACCACCGCCCTCACTATGCCAACACCAACAGCCGGCCCCCAGACACCAGCGGCAACTGACAAAAACAATCGGATCCGCCTGATTCAGGTCCAGGTCATCGAACTGCAGCTCGGCTGTGGTCTGATCCAACAGCGAGACAACGGGCTCCTGCCAATTCCGCGTAGTCGCTTACGGCACGAAAATTCCAGCATAACGAGTGCGCATGCAACTTTGGATTTTCTAGAGTCGCTGAGCACGCCTGCTGTTGGAGTTCAGGCAAGCTAGCGGGTGGAGCAATCTCATCTCTGCTTTCACTCACTCGCGCGCAAAAGTCTGGTATGGTCGACCTGACTCAGTGCGCGGACGCACTCTGAAGATGGCAGCCCTGAAATCTGAACATCGCTACGCATTTCACGTCTCCCGTCGGGTGTTGAATCCCTTCGAGTCCCCGCTAAGGAGAAGTGCGTGCCACCGAGCTCGAAGCAGGTTTGACATCTCCGGATCCTGTGAGAGCTGGGAGCGCGGATCATCTTGCGTCCCTTCCTGCCAGTCAAGGGCAACAGGACTTTGTTTAAAAAATGCTTACAACGTGGTCCTCGTACAAGTTGGCCACCAAGCACTTTGGGCATACAGGGTTCGAAATGTGGCACGTAAGGAGTAGGCAAGGCATGTGAAGCTTCCGGTTTGCAGGAGGTTACGGTGTTACGGTGTCACGCTGTCAGCGTGCTATTGGTGTCAAGGCAAGTCGAGGCTGAGTCCTTTCAGCCTCAACTCAAGAATGATAGCTTCAGCGAAATAAAATGAGCCCACCGCACAAGAAAAGATCTGCAGTACTTTGCTAGGGTAGGGCAGCTGCAAATTCCGGAGACAGACACTCAGGAACGAATTGTTCATTCAACTGTTGCGTAGCACAACATGCCGCGTACCTCGCCACTCGACATTCCAATGCCCTCTCGAAGAGCATCTCCCAACTAACTGCTTGTTTCCCAGATGCTGTGGATTTTGCGTATAATTCAGCACATACACGTCGCAAGCCGCAAACCGCAAAAACACAGAGTCCTGCACTCCAAGCTAAATAGACACCTGACAGTAATGCACTCTGGATCGGGCCTGTGTTCCCTGCGTAGTGTCATAGGGGTGGTCCTGCGTATTCTGGCTCAAGCCATCGTACCTGTCTTCAAGCCGAGCGACAAGAAGGTCACTTAAATACAGTGAACTACGAGAAATGCTTTGAGTCTCAAGTACAACGATTGGTGTCGCACTCATCTCGCCTCCAAGATGGATATAATCTGATCATGTGTATGCCCGAAGAACTGCATGTACTGGCCAAGACACTGGGACCCCTGGGTGTTGAATTCATCCAGGAAGTTGAATTGACCTGGGCAAGTAATCGTGGGCTTGGGTTCATGACTTCAGGGGAAGGCTTCGACATTTGAGCACAAGTGCTTAAGTCTTTTCAAGCCCCAACCATAGCTTGTACCCTCTCGTGAAAATGCGACGTAGCGCATACACTCTCTGCCTCCTATGACATGGAGAAGATGGAGAAGTCATCCGTCTGACATGTCGAACCCTTTTTACTCCCTACCTGCTGATCTCAAGCTCCGAAACTTCTTGTTCCTAAGCTTCACCTGGCTTCAAAGGCGATCATACCCAACAGCAGATGATATCCCACAACCGGCCAAGTTCAGCCAAAAGCACGAGTATCTGCTTAAAATTACGCAGTGTATACACGTGCATTATCCCCACGACCCCGGCCTCAGATCGTGGATCACAAGCCCCTGAAAGCGCAAAAGTTGGTAGATCTGCGCCAGAGAAGACTTAGCCCAAAATCACGGAAACTGTAACACTGTAACATGCAGTATAAGCTTCCATCTCCGTAGAGCAGGTCGTCTACCTGGCAATCAGAAAGTGAAGTTCTTGCAGCTGGGTTGGTTTGCACGGGGAGGACCTACTGGCTTTGAGGTCAGCGGTCAGGATGCTGATGGTAACTGAGCTTATGCCATCTTGCGAAAGAGCTGTTCCACGTGTGAGGATTGTGGGCTTCAAGTCTCGCTGTCTGGTTCCATCTGACACTATGTGCACGGAGGTGGTCCCGCACGCATACATCATACGCAAAAAAAAAAAAAGCGTATTCGCAACCCTTCTACTTCTACTTCTTTTTCTTCTTCTTCTTGTCCTTCTTGTTCTTTGTTGCCACAAGTAATAATAGGTTTGTGGTAGGTGGGGCTGGAATCCTGCCCTCTGGGATACTCTAAGCCCTATACCCGAAGATTTCATGACATGCCCTTCGGCGTGAGTCACGTATCTTCCACTGTCCATACCCCTTCAAGCAAGAGCCTCAAGCCACAGCCCCAACCTTGTCTTGGAGTGCTCATTCTGATTGCGTGGTGTGTTGGATCTTTTGGTGACGAGTTTGTGTCTCGTTCTGCGGGGTCAAATGCGGCAACATCTATGTATGATACGTCCACACCTCCTGTGAGAGCTCGCCCATGGCCAAAATTGCTCCGTCGATCGCAGGACGTGCGTCTACGAAGAGTCTAACTAACAGGTCTGGCCGGTCGCCCGTGATGCAAGAAAATCTGTGACAAAATCTGGCGCTACACTTGTGCCTGCCATGCAGCATTAACTTTTGCATGATACACTTCTTGTTTGGGTGCGCGTGCACATTGCTCACCAAGTGCTGGACACAGTAAATAAGATGCCGTGGATACGTCGCTTAGATCAGCCTGCCAGCCTTCAGAACTTCAAGTGAGGTGGCGCCCTGTAAGCAAAAGGCGCATCCATCGAGGTTGACTCAATCTCTGAGTCCTTTCAGAGCCTGGTCTTGAGCTGAGGTTGAAAGCTGAGTCTCATCTGAAATACCCCTCCGCTGCAAGCACAAAGCGAACGCCAAACCCTCCCCCTCATAAGCTTGCTATCTCTGACTCAAGAACCAGCAAGATACTTTTTGTTTCTGTGCACAGGCCTGGTCCGCATTATGTCGCTTTCAGAGTTTGGGCTGCTGCAGGCGAGAAGCATCGGATCCCTCAGGGTCGAAACCTCAAAAACAGAAGCGCTTTGAGGCTTACCTATAGATCCTAGCTGCCCGAAAGGGTAGGCTCGCTCAGGCCTGATGTTCATGGGCCACTTTTCCCCAGAAGTATGAGCTTCCGCAAAAATGTGGATTGGAATTCGATCAGGCTCTGAGGCAGGCGGCTTTCCGGATTGCCAGTACGGGTGCCTGACGCGAGGCAATCCAGAAGATTCGTAGAATCAAAGCCATCATGAAAGCATCGAGGATATGAAGAGGGGTGAGGATGCTGGCTAGATGCTGCTCTCAAAGCATAACGTCTCTGTTGAATCCAGCAAGGCTGCCGGAATTCTAAGCAGCTAACTTCTCTGTAAAGGCTGGGTCAGCGCTACTCCCTGTCGGCAGCCCAACGCCCAGGGAGCAGCATTTGTCGGCAGCATGATCTACACTTCTGTAGCCGCATGCCCATCTGACCTGATGTCTGCCGGGCCCTTAGCCTCGCAGCCTCAAAACTCAAAAGGCTGCAAACCCAAACCCCCGAATTTCCACAGCAGCGTCCCGCTGAAACTTGGCAGGCGCACGCATTGCTGATGACGGGCGTGTTGCGTGAAACGTACCTTGCAGCACCAATGCTGCCGCGTCAGAAGTTGAAGTACCATGTGGCAAGATTGTGCCCAGACAGCCCACGGATCTATTTGGATCCGAAGCACTCTTGGCAGGCGGCCTCAATAGACCCCTTTGAACTTAAGTTCGTCATTCCAAGTTTCTGACTGTGGGCCACTGGTCTCAGCACCAATGAATCCTAAGAACAGAAAACGACACGAAACACCGCGTGAAGACACGACGGTCAGGATAATCTTGACTCCAGTTTGCCGCATTTCTGTGCCAGTTGACACTTTTGGGCCGGACACCTAACGACTGGCAAGACTTGTACAAAAACACAACGCTTCCAACGGCTCTGATAACCTCGCAGACGCTTGACGAACCTTTGCTGTCCAAAACAAAATAACCTAATGATGCCCTTTCAGCAAACCCCCAGACAGCAAACACTCAAATCAGAACCCTTCCAGCAGCTTTCGGGTCATCCTGACACCATATCGCCGTTTCACCGGCACGGGGCACCGGTGGCGGCAGCTGAAGCACCACCACCACCAGCACCACCAGCACCACGACCATCAGCACCAGCTCCAGCCATTCCAGCCCTAGCACCAAAGACACCACAACCTGCAGGTTGTAATCTGCATGTTGAAGCCCAGGAGAGCCCTTAGGCCTACAACACCTTCTAGGGACCTGCAGTACCCTGGGACACGGTTTCAGCTCGAAGTCGCTAAGGTCCGGCACCTTCAATTTTACGAAGTCAGGACTGTCTGTTTTGGAATAATCGCGGGGGCTTCAAGCTTTCAGTCTGTGGGGTTGGGGTAAAAGCTTGAAGTTGCTGGCTCTGTCCCGACTTTATTCCATCTTGCCTTCAGGATGGGAAACAGCATCGGGTTGATGAAGAAGAAACCTGTTTGCAGTGTGGACTGGGCAGCCCTTGCACTAGGTTGTGATGGGTTGCAACTCGCCGGGACCGTCCATGCGCTCGGCGTACTGGTTTTGATTGTTTCCGCACTGAATTTGTGTTCAGCTTTTGGAGAGCTGAGTCCAGATTCGCGGCTCCACACATAGCCCCCCATACCCAAAATCTTAGACATGGAACTGGCTCACGCGGAGTAACAAGCAGCGGGGCAGCACAATTCCACTACTTCCACTGCACCGATTCCTGTTGTCAGGTAGATGCCTCACACACCCTCATAAGGACACTCATGCAAAGTCGGCAGTGCTCTGTTGCCTTGGCGTTCTCACAGCAGCAAGCAGTTGCACAGGAATGTCGCGGTTCAACAAGAAACCCAGTGCTGAAAACTCACACGCTTTGGCTGTGCTCCTCTGACTAGAAAATTGCAATCTGGATCCCGAACAGCAGCTAAGGAATGAATGTCGTTGAAGTGGCTTTTTCAGCCTGAAGTTCTCTCCATAAAAGGTTCTCTAAGCTGCTCCTGCGCGACACCAAAAGCAAAAGACTTAAGCGCCACATGAACGGATCTCTCCTTGCCTTTCTTTGTGTGACGTCCGAGACCGATCGATCCGTACCTGAAAACAGACCCCACCAAAACTTGTATCTGGTCGAACCTCAACAGGATCAGCATGACAATTAAAAACGTCAGTGCAACCCGCAGCAGCTGAAGATGGCAAAGAAAAAGTGAGATAAGATGAGGTTCCTGAACCTTGACTATCTCCCTGGAGTCACCGACCCAGATCTTGCATCTCGGAAGGTACTGCAATCCAAGGCGAAGGTTCGCAAGGTCAAAGTTCCTCCGTTCGTCTTTTCAACCCCGTGCTGCAGAAAAGCACAAAGTTGCCAACGAGTATTTTGGAGTTCGGCACTTCCATGCAGGCACTCCTTCATCTTGAGCTTGCCGAAGCTTTTTCAAACCAAGTTTCTCGGAGTGAGGCTTGACTACTTGTCTCCAGCTCCGGCAGGATGCAGTGTGCCGTTTTGCACCTATAAACATTCTGAAGATGCACGTCAGCTGTATCTGCGCGGTGGGCCGTTGGACACTTTCTACTTACTGCCTAAACACAAATTTGATTTCATTGGAAGGACCATGAACCTTCCATGCTCGTCGGCACATGAGCACCGATCAAAATCCAAAACCGACTCCTGACAAGAAGCCAACAAACAAACGCAAAACGAGAACTCAAAACTGCCAACTTGAATCCCTTCCAAACAAGGCGTGGCGCACCCCTTCTTCAAGCGCGGCGCCCGCTTTGTGTTAAGCGGGCCCCTGCCTTTTGAAGGACCCATCTTGGATAGCAGCACCAGAGACCTTTGAAGCTTCACTGAATTTGCTTGACATGTTTCACCTTGATTCCTATCTTGTGTAATAGCAAGAGCGAACAGAGGGTCCTTGACAGCTTTGCTGCAGCCTGTCGAGAATCATGAAAAGCCTTACATTCAAAAACTTCCTGCATGCAAGCGGCCGCCACATGGCGCAATGCCAGGAGAACTTGCACGATGCTTCTCAATAAGGCAAGTTCTTCGTGCCTGCACCCTGAAAAGAACGTTGAAAAGTGAGTCTGAAAGAGCCCGCGGACTTCAAGGACGTATCATAAACCAAGTTATGCATGCTGCTGCTTGCCTCACGTCAGTATGCCGGATGATTGCTTGCGAAAACTGGTCCATGTCTTCAGGTCGAATGCTTTCATATTTTTACGTGCGCTAGAGTTGAGCTCACCGGCCAGAATCGCGCGGTACCCACATAGCCTGCAATACAAACCCACAAATCACTGAGAGCGTCATTCCTGTTCATCATTGCTGCTGCTTGACTGATCGCCAAAATTCTACCTTAGCGAATCAATGACAGCAGCTACTTACGTGAGCACTGGTAAATATGAACAAGAAGCTGCAGTATGGAGCCTGGCAATGACGCGAACATCCACGACAAGGATTGCCTGTTCCAAGCAAGCAATCAGTCCGGTACAAGCTTCAGAAATGTTCCAGTGCTGTTGCAACAGGTTCGCAGCTGAGGACATTTGCCGGCCCTTGCTTGGGAACAAAGCGCTTTTTGCTCCTCTTTGCAATTCCAGTCGCGCTCAGTTCCTGGGCAACCCCGACACAGTGCAAAATCGTCTCAGATCTTGAACAAACTATGAAATGGTTTGTATCATGGAACGAACTAACTCACAGAAACATCTTGTCTGAGTAGCCTCAACACTGGCGGGGCTTCGGCTTTACGTCTGCGTCTCTGCCTACGGCTTGCAACGAGCGAAACACAAGTTGATCTGCGACCTCTTGAACCCAGCTATCAACTGATCCCTTCCCATAAGAAGGACATCTCCCACCCTGTCCCTCCCCAACTACAAGTAAAAACCCTGCCCGGAGTATTTATTATTAGGATGGAGGTTGTTGTGAGGAATTATGGGCTTCCCATTTGGTTTCCATTATCAAACTAGTAGTTAAATTACAATCGAATCACCATCGGCACACAGCTTAATTAGCAGGAAAAAATGGTAAAATGAATGGAAAATCTGGTTAAAATCTATTGAAATCCATGTAAAATCGATTCTGATCTACTTCAAAAATCTAGTAAATCTGATTAAAATCCATTGAAAGCTCATTCAGATCGAGTTGACACCAATGGAAAGCTAATTTAAAATCTAATGAAAACCAATTGAAACCTGATCAAAATCGAATTGAAACCAACTGAAATCTCATAAACAACACACTCAGATCGACTTAAAATCGTAAAAAAACTGAATTGAGAAACTGAATTAACTTCTAGTTAAACTGTTTCACATCAATTGAGCCGTGGCCAAAACCCTTTGAACGTCCTGTTCTCGTATCAATTACTATCGCGGACCCATACGTTTTACTGACGCGGTCCCAGCGCCAGCACATCGCGCGCTCTTGCTGTTCTTTTGCACTGACGCGCGCTCTCGCGAATGAGATACGAGTGAAAAACGCAGGTTGTACCGCGCGCACAGTTTTTACTGACGCACGCGCCTGGCCAGCTTGTGCAGAGGCTTCTGACCAGGTGATCGCGAGCTATCGCAAACAATCTGCCTACAAAATGCTGACTCGCACTGACGCGCGCACCACTTTTTGCAACATCCACCATCGACATGAGAACCCTCTTAAAGAAACTCCTTCATAGGGGTTTTGGCCGCCGCTCAATTTGACAAGTCGTAATAGAATCCATTAAAACCTAATTGAGATCAATGGCACCCTGGTTAAAATCAGTTTGTAATCAGAATAAACCAAATAAAATTCATTTCAAGCCCATGAACAGCATTTAGGCTTTATACAAGTTCCTGTATAACTAGTAGATAGAAAGAAAGCAGTGGGAGAAAGGAAATCTAGGATTCTTTATTTCTTACACCCCTATGACCCTCAGAACCTCCCCCTAATTCATTATTACGGGATCCCTTTTGATGGTCACCTTGGCCCTTTTGAAAGTAGTCTTCAGGGTATTTCTGGAATTTGGTTTTTTCCAGGAGAAGCATTTTCATTATTAACAGGTTGTCATGGGTAGGTTCAGGCGATGAGTTAAGTAAACAAACTGTCGGGTTCACTCACCAAAGGTTGTAACACGTTACACGAAGATCATCAAGACTTGAATTTGGCCTGCTGTTACAAAGCACGTTCCCATCTGAATTGTTGGATGCGCAGAAAAGCTTCCACCGCGGAGCTTGTGTTGCCATTCGATTCTAGTTGTAGACGGCAATCTATCCATCCCAGCAACGCATCCATTCCATCTCTAGCGCCAGGACTAGCGTTGACGAGCAAAGACCTCAATCCCCCTATTGCATTCATTCTTTATAACCTACAGATACGCGTATTTTGGAGGTGGCTCAAGTACAAGAGGATGATCACAGGCAACAAATCACTGGTGATCTTCTCGAAAAGGCTGGTTAATAGGTGAAGAACGTGAACGGCTTTTATTGACCAGTAGCCGACCTGTCTGCGGGCACCTAAATAAAACGTCGAATCACTGTCAAGCATTCAACATCTAAGCCGCGCAACCCTGGACGAGACTGCCAGCGTCGGGTGAGCACCTACCATGTCTTCCGAAGCGGGCCCCAGCTGCCAAACCATCAAGATCTATGTTTCTGGACTATCCAAGGGCTCCACAGCCCTTGGACCCAGACTCTGCCAAACGCCCAGCCATGGCTTGATTTAAAAACTATGCTTCAAGTTCACGCAATATGCGAAGTTTCATGAGACCTGGGAAGTGACTACTCACACCTGGGGCTGAAGCACTA